GAGGCGTGCCCTGCCACCCCTCTCAGCTAAACAGGGCAGAGTCAGGGTCTCCTCCTGGCTGCGATGATGCGGTTTGCTGTGGGTAGCAGTTTCCTACAGGAGCATTTCCTTATGATGGTACAAATGAGAAAGTGCCTCCAGTAGCACATTCCTACAAGGTAGCAGTTCTGTACATACCACAGGCACAGCAGCCTTAGAGCGAGGCGTGCCCTGCCACCCCTCTCAGCTAAACAGGGCAGAGTCAGGGTCTCCTCCTGGCTGCGATGATGCGGTTTGCTGTGGGTAGCAGTTTCCTACAGGAGCATTTCCTTATGATGGTACAAATGAGAAAGTGCCTCCAGTAGCACATTCCTACAAGGTAGCAGTTCTGTACATACCACAGGCACAGCAGCCTTAGAGCTGCAGCAGTAGCACTCAGCTGGCGGCTCTGAGGCTAGGTGAGAGAGGCAAGGCAGGCACTGAAGGTTCCCGTGCCAGGTTTAGTGCTGGGGGTGGGTGCTCTAAAAGGCAAAGGGGGACAGGGCTAGCAGTGAGGGGGTTACAAGGCTGGCAATAGGGCCAGGGCTAATATTGAGGGCTGGCACTGGGAAGGTCCTGGGGGTTTGGGTGCAGTGGGACTTTGGAAACAGGAGGCTAGCACTGGGGGTGGGTTGGGTGTAGGGGACTTGGTCAGTGGCTGGGGGAGGTGCTAGCGGTTAGGGCTTGGGCTTTTTATACTGTGGACTGGCAAACAGGTTCACAAACTTTTGGTGGACTGGTAATATTTTATTTTCATAATAAATATGCAAATAAAATGTTACCAGTTCACCAAAAGTTTGTGAATGGGTTTGCCAGTCCATGGTATAAAAAAGGAACCACTGTTCCAGAGGATATGTGCCTTCATCCACAGCAGGCTACATAAAAAGCACTAGCAAAGCCAGCCCAAACTAAAATTTGTATTTATTTATACACTATAGCCTATGCACTGAAATATAAAAATAGTATTTATACTCCAATCCATTTATTTTATGATCTAGTAAATGAGAAAGTAAAGAATTTTCTGTAATAGCGTGTGTTGTAGATTTTTTCACAGAAATAATGTGTATTTTTATAAATTTAAATAAATTAATGGAGATTGCCTATCTCCTAGAACTGGAAGGGATCTTGAAAAGGTCAGTGAGTCCAGTCCCCTGCCTTCACAGCAGGACCAAGTACCATCCCTGATGAATTTTTGCCCCCAATCCCTAAATGGCCTCCACAAGGATTAAACTCACAACCCTGGGTTTAGAAGGCCAATACTCAAACCACTGAGCTATCCCCTTGCTCTGATTTTATAGTATGTAGTTTTGAAATGAGGTAAAACTTGAAGGTATGCGACACAAATCAGACTCCTGAAAAGGGTACAGTAGTCTGAAAAAGTTTAGCGCTACTGGGTTAAATGACTTGCACAAGCCTAGAGCAAAAGACACCATCAAGGTACAGAACTCAGGAAGTCTGGTATTCAAGCCCATGAACTTTGCACTAGTTTAAGCATCCTTCTCTTATGAGCTAGATTAGGTGACTGGCTAGTATAAAAAACAACAACTACTGTTTAATATGAACTTTCATTCAACCTAAAATTGCAGGGCTTGGAGGATGCGACAAAATCCCTCTCAGGGATGGGTTAGTGTTTTTCATAAGTAAATAACTCAAGGTTGGCTTTTTTGGTATTTGTTTTCTAAACGGGCTTATTGCTTTTGAGCATATAATCACAATTATCTGCATTTTATAAGAACACTAACTGCTTCACATGCATATTATTTGTAAAAGGCACTTCTATCAGAAGAAGCTGATAGTATAAATTCAGGACTGACTTCACAACAGATGCAAAAGGCTGCAATACTGTCTGACAGTGTAGAAATTCTGACTAACACACGATTATGACAGTTATCTGTACCAATTTTAGTCTTCAAACATTAAAGACTCATCATCAAATCCCTCAGGTAGGTAATTTTCTTATCCCCATTTTATAGATAACAAAGCTACCAGAGATTAAACTATATGCCCAAAACTACAGCAGTTACAATAAAGAACTAAAATTCAGGTCCTATATCCCATTTCTCTGGTCTGACTGAGCACTACTAAACTACTGTTTCTCAACAACCAGTCTGTGGGTTAGCACTGGTCCCTGGGATCTCCCTGACACAGTTTAAGAGGGCAGCAAGCTGGTCCCTGCTGTCAAAAAGGTTGAAAAACATTGCATTAGTCAATTCTATCCTCATAGCAACATGGACACAAAAACAATTGTTAAATTGCTTTCTCCAACCTCTGTTGTATGCCTTTTGATCCATGCCAAAAGCCCTCCTCCAACTTCCATGCAGGTATGGCAGTTCCATTAGTTTATTTGTGCAGTCTTTATACTCAATTAGGGCAAATTCAACTGACAGTTTATTACAGTTGTTTCAGAGCAAATGCTACACTAATGAGAAGGCTAAAAAATTTGCCAAGAATGTGTCAGCTGATGCTGCCATAGAGATCAGCAGACATTTTACTATAGACTTAAATTGGATCATGTCCAAATTTCTGCAGTGAGAGAAAGGTGGCTCTGTGGTTATGACAGGATATTATGATTGTATGGAAGTTTTTGCAGTATATGAGCATTCAATACGTAGTTTATTTTAAAAGTGTGTGTCATTGTAGCACAATATCATAGTGTTCAACTCCAGCGATGAGTGCAAGTAGCAGGGAATATCATTTACCAACTTCCTCAGCACAGTAGCCATCAGGCCTCCCCCTTGAACTATGGGAACTCAAGCCCTAGTTCCCTTTGGCCTTCCAAAGCTGAAATCCTGGCTTCATTGGAGCACTAGCACAGAATTATTTGCCATCTGCATCAGACAGACTGGACAATTCAAACACACCAAGCCAGCCACAGGTAATTTTAAAGACAATGAGCCAACAAGCTACAGCCCGCTTTTTTAGATTCTATAAAAGAGGAACACACAAGCACATGCTGCAAATTGAGCATGTTACTCCTCCTTTAGCACACCATCAAACCAGCAGTAGAGAAAAAATTGTTTTTTTTACTTTTGGGGTTAGGAGGAAGGATAGAGGGGAAAAGTAGGTGCTTTTCATCTTGCCAGAGAGTTAACTCCCATTTGGATTGAATGTAAAGCTGAAATATAAGAATGTTATATGCATCCTCCAGTGACAAAGTAGCATTTTGACTGCAGCCAGCCTTCCATTAGGGATGTTAAAAAGCAGTTAATTAGGAAACCGTGTAACCTCTGAAACTCTCAGCGGTTACATACTGCAGGGTATGCAGACACCTAGCTGCCAGCCCCACACCCTGGCAGCTGGCTGCGCTGCAGATTCTGCAGTATAAGCAGGAGCTGGTGAATCCCAGAAGCCAGTTTTTAAGATGGTTCTTGGCCAGTGTTCCCTGTAAGATTTTCCATCCATGAGCAGAGTGAGTTTTGTCTTGTGTGTCAACAATAGGTCAGATGTGCTTATCTGGATATGTGCCACTGTGGCACCCACCAGTGGCACTGCTCCCCGAAAGATTATCCCCAGCATAGAGACCCCAAGCCCTGCTCCCAGGCAGTGACCCTCACCTCATGAGGAGAAGGGTGGACGTGCCCTTCACCGCAGGGAGTGCTATTCCCAGGGTAGCCTGTGGGCAGGGCAGGGACTGCCTCAGGCTGCTTCTTGCAGGGCTAGCTGTGAGTTCTGACCTGGGGCAGAGAGAA